TTTTTGCGGATACAGACTAACACCGCTGCTACTCTGAAACCTTTCTTGTAGAATTTTTGACACTTCTGCTTTCGGTTCCTGAATATGGAAGTGAAGAAAGGCACAAAAAGTTTTAAAAAGAATAAGCAAGCTTTTTTAACCTAAAAAATGGTTTAGCTTGGGGCTTAGTTTGAATTTTGGACAAATATTCATGTCATTTGTTTTAAACAGCATCAATTTGCCTGTCCCTAAAACAGATTCGAATATAAGTTAGGAAACAGTTAAAAAAACCAAACCAAAACATCTAAAAATACTCTGCAGAAAAAGAGACCAAATACTTTCAGCCACACACTCCTATTTCCTACCTTAAAGTATACAAGATTTTCCCATCATTCCATATTCTCAGAAGCTGATTGGGTGTAGTGATCCAATGAGCTTCTGCTGTTTTAGAATTTCGGAAGATAGTGTCTGGTATCCATATCAATCCAACCATATTGCTGTTTAGAGTCAGTATTTTCATGGTGCTGTTGAAACGAAGGCGGCTGTCTGTCCATGTCTGAGCAAAAAATATATCAATTTGGTATTCCTGTAATAAAAGCACAACATAAAAACTGAAGTTGGTTCCACGCATTCCACTTATATTTGGTCTTTGATAGGATATAGTTAAAGGGCTGGAGCCTCAGTCAGTGTAACTCGACATTGCTCTATTAAAATCAATGGATCTATGTTGATTTACACCAGCTAAAGAGCTGGTCTTTTAAAGTTTTTTTGTTTGTTTGTTTTCATTCTCAGAATTAGTTTACTTTAGGGGGAAAAAATAGAACATGATCTCCTGCATTGGCCTTTTGGCTTAGCATTCTCTGCCCCACCACACAGTCTTGACCATTCTTCTCTGTGAAGTCAGGGAAGTCACAACTGGACGATATACCTTCAGTGGCTTCCCTGCCTCAGTGTGAAAACAGAGGCTTTAAGAAGCTGCTATATGATGAAACAGCTGTTTGAGATTCAGGTAGCATTAGACAAATATGGCTAGTGATTAAATAAGTCAGCTGAAGAATGACAAATTGTGTGGAACACTGCAGCCACACACACACACACACACATATTAATTGTTCTGTTGCATGTATAGCCTACAGCAGAAACATGCCATGATCATAGATTCTAATTTATTTTTCTTTACAGATACCTCATGTATTTCAAATGCCAAGCGCCAGAACTCTCTTAAACAGCCATTAATATGCTAATCCAGTTGCTACAATCTTATCTTTTTATAGTTACATTTTATTGCCATGTTTCTGTTAATACGTAGTTATAATAAGGGTGATAAAATAGAAGTTACACACACACAAGTATGAGCATGTGTATATATTATTACATGCAAAAAACTTTGTTAACAGATAGATATTTAAGTTTCAAAATCCAGTACTTAAAATACCAATTCCACATCTGCCAGTACAACCTTCATTATGCATCCTGATGCATCCAACCTATGCACTGAATGATGGGAGGATCTTGTGGGAAAAATGTGATTATATAAAGACTTTATCATAATGCATAAGCATAAATGGGCAGAATTAAGGGTTCCTGGTCAATATGGCAGTTCCTTGCTTGAGCCTTTGTCCAGCCTAATTTTCATTTAATGTAGGTTTTCTGCATGAAGGTTCCTTGGTGATTTTTTTTTAAAGGAAAAAAGTACAAATCAATTCTATTATGCACCACTGTAACAACTTATCATGTATTATTAGCAGGTTTTGTGCCATGAATTTATCCTAGTATTCTAACTGTATTCTAGGAGCCATCTGGTTACCCTGCATTATTCCTATAATTACCATCTTTTGCAGGCCATCCTTCCAGAATTGATGTTATAACACTATTTATTGTTATTCATTGACACTATTAGCCGAGAAACACGCTCTGGGACTCTCACCTTTCCATGATGAATGATCGATGGATATGTAAGAATTCTTAGCATGTATAGGAATAGCAGGTAATATATCACCTTATGACTCGCAGCATAGCTACTAACAGTCCCTAGAACCTTTCCCTTTAGCCTTTCTAGCTGTGATTTTTCTTTTTAATTAGCTTTATTTTCAGGGATAGGACAAGAGCTTTGACACTGAAGGGGACTTATTTTCATCTTGGTGTACAGGGAATTGCACATCTCTGTACATTGAGACAAGGAAGTATATCAAAGTATCTAGCTCATACTGATTGTTATTTCTATTTTTAAATACAAGGGAAGTGCTCAGAAATTACAGGGATGAGGGAAATGGTCATAAAACTACCCACCTATATATATTTATAAATGTTCAAAAATTATTGTTTCCTCACTTTGCCATTATTGCAGAGAGTGGATTATTCACATTATGTTCTACTATTTGCCCCATCTCTGCCAGCTCCTCATTGCAACACCCTGGAGAAGAGAGGCTTGTGTGTATTTACCTGATACAGAATGGAATATGCTAGACATGGCCACATGTCTAGCAGTTTTCTCTAACTGCTGAGCTAGTGGAACTGTTCCTTTAGCTTGCAAGCGGAGACCAGTATTTACGGAGCCAAAGGCTATGATGCCACATATATACAGCTGGCTAATGAGCTTGGTGTATTTATAAACAACAATGGATTGATGCAAGATGTTCATATTTGAAATTATTTGATAGGAAAAGAATGCTTATTTTGATTGCCAAATTATTTCTAAATTTAGGAGCAGCTGTAATTCTCTTTTGGGATATTGTACACACTTAGGATTTTGCTTATTCAAAAGGAAAGACAGCCCTGAACTGTTTAATTAATGTCCACCATACTTTCCCCAACACACACATTCCTTCATTTTAAGTATTCCAGGAGGTAAGGTAGTCCAGTTGGCGTTTCCTGTTAAGTACTACATTTAGAACTGCCCCTTGAGGTTATTCAAAATACAACTGGTAAAGCGTAAGACCGGGATGAGCAGATGCAACTCCATTTACTTGAATGGGTTGTTTAAACCAGGGCTGAATTTAAGCTTGTGTGCATATATAACTGCATTGGATCCTCTAGTAATAAAACATGGCCTATTGTTTTAAATGTGTCTCTCTGTCCTATGCTCAGCGTGAAATGATTTATTTAAGCAGTATCACACAACAACTCAGTAAACAGCATTCCCCCCCCCGCGCCACATCTTTCCTAACAATTTAGCTCTGTTTAAAAGTAACACATTACAGATGCAATGTACTATATTCAATAATAAGGGATAAACAGATATTTACATTTGATATCTGAACTGTAATTTCCCCTTTTTCTTCATCCATTAATCCCTTTAAAAAAGGATGCTAGATCAGTTCAGCCTTCACATTAATCATTGTAATTACCTCAGCCTTCATCCAAATGGTGAATGGGGTTGCTATTTAGGTATTCCATTTTTGAGCTAGAGAAAGAGAGGTCAACTTTGAAAGCTGGGTGTATAAAATTAGGCTCCTTTGCCCAGATCCTTAAAAGGTATTTACTTGCCTAATTCTCGTTGATTTCAATGGGAGTTGACAATCTGGGCCCTAAATTTTAATATATAGGCACTTACACATAAGTGGCTTGATTTTCATAGGTGCTGAGTGTGTCTCTCCCAGCAGTCAATAGACAACATGGCATTGCAGTGTGGAGGAAGGGTGCAACGGCCTCTGAACCATTTAAACCCCACATAGGAACTGTGCAACGAATCTGCTGAGTGTGCACTCACAGGTGATACTTGCCTATCCATTCCATGCCACAGGAAGGGTCTCCATGCTAGCTTCACGTAGGAGTAAGTATTTGGGCCATAATGTATGAAAAGACAAGGATCACTTTCAATTAACTGGTTTTACCTTTTAGAGGAATACATAGGCCAATTGTTTTATAGAGGTAATACTAGCATTAATGGTATTTAGGCAAGAATAATCTTTATCTTAAGTTCTATGTAAAATCTTCTGCCTAGAAAATCTTAATGAGAACAGGTTTCTTTGCTAACACAAAGAATACTTGATGAATGAAGAATTAGAAAGCAGAGAAACCAATCTCACCAATTATGGCTAGAGACACATCAATTTTCTAAACACATTTCTGAGATGTTACCTATGCAAAAAAATAATAATCACAGATATACATAAACTTATATATGACATTATATACAGTAGGCCTGCTCCTGATTACTTATTTATGAATTACGGAAGTAGTTTGTACCCCGGGGTGTTAGAGGCCTGTGGGGCTAGAGAATGGGAGGAGGTTCTTGAATTCTTCTCTCTGGCACTGATAGGATAGAGACGCAGGCCCAGATCCTCAATGGTATTTATGCTTCTAATTTACATTTAAATCAAGGGAAGTTAGGAGCCTAAATATCTTTGAGAATCATCATAGATATCACTGTAGTAGGTTGATTAATGTGCCTTTCCACCTAGCTGCAATAGGACCATGACGATAAAGGGAGGGGAGATATGGTGGTTGTAGAAAGAGTAGATATATGTCTGGTGTGGGGAGGGAGAGTGAGGGATTGACACCATAGGGTATTAGATGCTCTAATGTGTGAGACAGGGAATTATTGTAAAGTATTTTGTGGGTAGGTGGACTGGAAAAAGGAATTGCACATATTTAACTTATTTACAAATCAGACCAAACATCTGTTTTTCTTCTCATTCTCAAAGGAGACATGGAGAGTGTGACTGGTTGGATCACAGAAACCCCCTTGGAGTTGCCAACAGATGTGCAAAGACTACCCCTGCTTCTGTTTTCCCTGCCAGCTCAGGACTCCAGCACCCTGTCTTGCTGAGCCAGCCACTCCCATCTGGCTCTAACACAGATCCAGGGTCTGAATCACTTGTCCCAAAGCTGCAGGTTTACCTGAAAACAGCTCACAGTAGTGTGCTTGTCTTTAGCACTCAGATGCCCAACTCCCAATGGGGTCTAAACCCAGATAAATCCGTTTTACCCTGCATAAAGGTTATGCAGGGCAAACTCATAAATTGTTCGCCCTCTATAACACTGATAGAGAGATATGCACAGCTGTTTGCTCCCCCAGGTATTAATACATACTCTGAGTGAATTACTAAATAGAAAGTGATTTTATTAAATACAGACAGTAGGATTTAAGTGGTTCAAAGTAGTAACAGACAGAACAAAGTAAGTCACAAGCAAAATAAAATAAAATGCACAAATCTATGCCTAATCAAACTGAATACAGATAATCTCACCCTCAGAGATGCTTCAGTAAGTTTTTCTCAGACTGGACACCTTCCAGGCCTGGGCACAATTCTTTCCCCTGGTACAGCTCTTGTTGCAGCTCAGGTGGTAGCTAGGGGATTCCTCATGATGGCTCCTCCCTCTCTCTGTTCTCTTCCCCCCTTTATATATCTTTTGCATAAGGCAGGAACTCTTTGTCTCTCTGGTTTTCCACCCCCCCCTCACTGGAAAAGCACCAGGTTAAAGATGGATT